TCAATCTTAATTTTTGTATTTATAGTATTCAGTGACATTCGTTATATTCAGTATTCGTTTAAAAGGCTTTTCTACTAATTTTTGAAGTTTTTGTTCGATTATTGATTAACTTATACTACTTACTCGTATTACTGAGATGTAAATAGATTGTTGATAAAAATGTTCAATGATATTTTATCGGATTTTACATGCTTTTAGAAAGGAGTCAAAATTATAAAATCACAGTACTATTAAAAACAACAATTATGGCTGAGAATGTGTCAATTTATACTACTTGTTGTTATAAATTCTAATTTGACTGCTATTAGAGACGTTCCCTCATATTTTCATTTAATATATTCGATTCTCCCTTTAAATAAAGGCAAAAAGTTGTAAAATTACTAGTTTAGTGTTATATTGACCTATAAAAATAACCTATGAAAATAACCTTGACCTATCCTGGTATAATTGAGATCCATTTTCATTGTTGTTTAATATGTTCACTGATGTATATTTCCTTGTTGTATTCATAACATTGCTCCGAAAGAAAAAGGTGCAAATATAAATTCAAAGCATTATTACTAAATAGTACGAATGCCTCGTCGTACATTAACTCATACCACTTGCTACTATCAAATTCTAATTTCCATGTTCGCATCATAAAGTGAAATTAGTAACATTTATTTCAGTATAGAAAGCACAGTTCTTCAGGAAATTGAATAACGTCTGACACCATGTCGACCCATGCTACTTTCACCTTATACATTTTTCTTTCTCTTTATCAACGTAATCTCTCTTTTCAACATTTGATGCACCTGGAAGCAAACAGTGATCGTAAAGTTTTTAAAATAATTTTTTGCGAATACTTCCCGTGTCTGACCATACGCTGATCCTACACTACTTAAGCACAATGAGTTTGTTAAAAATTTCGATTCGCTCATTCCGATTTAGGAAACTATATTAATCTCGCAATTGGTACAGAAAGTCATGAAACAGGCGCAGAACTCCGTTCCAGTAGACGTCGACTCGCGCTGAAGTCCCAAACAACCAACGTTTTTCCGCTCTATTTATTGATCCACGCAAACATCGATTCGCTGTCGAAACAGCAAAAACCATGGAACACCGAGACAACGGCGAACAATCGAGACCGCGTCTCGACATGGACCGACCGCTACCACCGAATCCTCACGTTATTGTCCATTATTTCGAGGATTTTTTGACGACCACACTTTACAACGAATTCGACTAAGCACTTCCAATATTCGCCGGCTCGTGGAAAATCCACGGAACGATTCCCCGAATAAACCTTTCGGGTAGGATCTGTTCGTAATTAATAGTACTCTCGCGTGCGGTGGTAGAAAGTTCTTTTTATTTCGCGGACTATGTCTGCGGACGAGTCGCGATACAGTGATCGAGTTTGATTCTTCGTTTCGCCGTTTGCCCTGGTAAAATTCTTGAACAACCCTGATTGGTCAACCCCACGCGTTGGGCCTTTCCAATCAGCGTTGCTCATTTTGTCCTTTGTACCGCCCGCCCCTTACGCTCTTTGCGTATTTTCGGGACGGCTCGGTAATCGGAGGGGATGATGAGTTGTACGTGACAACGTGTGGAAATTTTCCTCCGGGTCACCCACGTCGGACCACATGGCCTTTGGGTCGCTGGGCCCGCTTCGAGTACCCTTCGGAAACTCTCCTAATTTATGACGGTCTCTTTAGCTATTGAGGAATTTCTTGAAAAGACTCTACTGTGCAAACATGTGCTATCAAGTGGTGAGCTTGTCTTCTCAAAAATAGCTTCTTCGAAGGAGAGTCATAAATTACGTTGGCCGTTTGCACGAGGACTGAAGATCTTATTGTGCGCACGACTGGTCGCTACAAACCTCTGCGACATCGTTGTCTCTGAAAACCCCCGATTACCCCCGCTCGTGAAATTTCCATTCTTCTGTCCAAATTAATCTCGGCGCTCGTGATTGGTGGCGCGTTAATTAGCCGTTGAAAAACAGCGTTCCAGCGACGATCGAGGCGGAAACGCGATTCATT